AGGCCCACAATCACCATGATCTCTTCACCTTCTGCACTCTGGCAAAGGCCAACAAACCTCTACCACTAATCATAAGTCTACAAAGAGATCTAAAAAACACTATCTTATCAGGGTGTATACTTTGAAAGCCATGGCAGGCACCTGAGTCACTGCTGATGTATCTCTGATTAGCCTCTGTGGGCTTAGGCCTATCATTACTTTCTGCAGACTGTCTTCTATTGCTGTAGTTGTCAATCTACTTTCTTTAAAGGCCAATTACTTGGGTTTTCTATATCATCAAACTAATGAGTTTATATTGCTGTAGTTGTCAATCTACTTTCTTTAAAGGCCAATTACTTGGGTTTTCTATATCATCAAATGGTGCTAATGTTAATAATGACCGTCTATAACCACCAAAAAACTATTTTAAAAAATATGTATGTGTTATAATTATAGAGAATGGGATTGAGATTGAGTATAACCTCGTATTTCACACTAACCTAGGTCAAACCCTGACCTATCGCAGTATAAAATCATCACGTTATATAGAGCAGGCAAACATCTCTAATTCAGTCCGAAAATAAACTCTTCTATTCAACTATAAATTCTGCAACGATAATACAATAATGTATATAGACCCAGTAGACTAATACATTCATGAAATAATTTTCCAACTTTCCGACAAACCGCTCACACGCCCAAAAAATCCACCATTTACCTTATCCTCTCTAATTACAAAGGCAAACTACGATGACACTTCTCTAAAATGATCACTAAACATCTGCTGAACAACATCAGAGAGAAAGACGACGACGAAAAAGACAAATAACCATTACCTTGTCACTATTTCTAAACTCACACACAACAACTGTTACTAACACTACTGTTTACTCTTTCAATGACGGCGTTCTTGTAAGATCGTATGGATACCGGATTCTATTTTTATTTCGAGGTTATATTCTCGGTACCATAGCATTTTAGCGATCGATATCTATTTATTTACGTGGCTATTGGTATACTTAGATCATATGTATATATGATATAAATATGAAGTACGTACAATTCCATTCGTAAATAACAGAAGAAAATGGTAATGAGCAACGTTGTTTGCGGAAAATGTGACGTCAAAGGAAAATAATGACGTCATTTGACGTCAATGATCCAATGACGGTGAATCATTGTGATATCAATGATAAGTTTTCCCCGTTTCAGGTTTTACTTCCTATCTGTCCATTTTTAAATGAAATCATACTGGTTAATATATGCACGCGTACACAAACATCTTTATATCTATATGGACACAGAAATACATAAGTATATATACATACATACATACATACATATATATATATATATATATATATATATATATATATATATATATATATATATATATATATATAAATATATATATCATATATATCACATATATATATGTATATACATATGTACATATATATATATATGTATATATATATATATATATATATATATATATATATATATATATATATATATATATATATATATATATACAAGTGTGTATACGGCGGCCACACTCCGGGCAGAGGCGGTTCCAGGCGAGACACTGGATCAAAATCCTCTTGACCAATGAGTAGGACTGCCCCTGTGCCACGGCTCTCCGACCTAATTCTGTTTAGCAAGGAACTCTCCTAGTACCCGAGAGGCTAATAATTCACGCAGCTGTTTCTGCATTCCAGCCCTCCAGTAAGCCCTGCGGCAAAGAGCGAGTGGCGAAAGTGACAGGTAACCACAGGAAGTCATAGTCAGAGCCTGTATATAGGTCTGGGACCAGTT